TCCGGTTGACTATGTCTGTACTTCTAGAAAACTCAACTACGTAATTCTATGCTCAATTTTGTACGTTGTGCAAAATTTGATGTCAATCTGACTAACATGAGGAGTATGATGCCCAATTTGCTTGATATCGGGCGAAAAAATATATGTAAGCTATATCCACATATTAAGCGATTTCAAACAAACTTGTCACAGGTTAGGTTATACTAACTTTAGAACGTTTTGTTCCTATTGGTTCCTTGGTGCGTCAATTACATAAAATCAATCTATAATAAAATGGAGCTATATCTAAATCTGGACCGATTTTCACGAAACAAGGCAGACATCACTCTAGGCTCAATTCAGTACGTTATGCCAAATTTCGTGCAAATCGAAAGATATATAGCGACTTTGGTGAACCATGTACATGAAATCGGACGAAACTATATGTGGGAGCTATATAGAAATATGGACCGATTTTATCGAAACTTGGCAGACATCACTCTAGGCTCAATTCAGTACGTTGTGCAAAATTTCGGGCAAATCGAAAGATATATATGGATGTTGGTGCACAATTTACATGAAATCGGACAAAACTATATATGGGAGCTATATCTAAATCTGGACTGATTTTCACGAAACTTGGCAGACATAACTCTAGGCTCAATTCAGTACGTTATGCCAAATTTCGTGCAAATCGAAAGATATATATGGATTTTGGTCACAATTTACATGAAATCGGACGAAACTATATATGGTAGCTATATCTAAATCTTGACCGATTTTCACGGAGCTTGGCAGACATCATTCTAGACCTAAATGATTAGGCTGTACCAAATTTCGTGCTAATCGAAAGATATATAGGGACTTTGGGGCCCCATTTACATTAAATCGGACGAAACTATATATGTGAGCTATATCTAAATCTTGGACCGATTTTCATGAAACTTGGCAGACATCATTCTAGGCCCAATTAAGTACGTTATGCCAAATTTCGTGCAAATCGAAGGATATATAGGGACTTTGGGGCACCATTTACATGAAATCGGACGAAACTATATATGGGAGCTATATCTAAATCTGGACCGATTTTCTTGAAACTGGGCAGACACCATTCTAGACTCAATTCAGTACGTTATGCCAAATTTCGTGCAAATCGAAAGATATATAGAGACTTTGGGGCACCATTTACATGAAATCGGACGAAACTATATATGGGAGCTATATCTAAATCTGGACCGATTTTCACGAAACTTGGCAGACATCACTCTAGGCTTAATTCAGTACGTTATGCCAAATTTCGTGCAAATCATAAAGATATATAGGGACTATTTGGGGCACCACTGATTTACATGAAATCGGACGAAACTATATATCTAGATATATGTACTGAATCTGCAAACACTTTTTACATTTATCGGTTAAAAAATATGCTTTTATACAAATTTACTGATATAGCTGTATAAATTACGGGCATTTCGAAAAAAAAATACTTACTTTTCCATTGCAAAAAATTATAGCAATGATTTTTGCAATATAAATCGTTAATTAATCCAGTAAGGAATGGATCAAAGTGGGATGTGGCCGAATAAATAATGCCTTAACTAAAGAATTTTATGGGCGCTATATCCGGAACGATTTAAACAAACTTGGAGCATACTCAACTTTGTGTCAGTTGGAAGAATGTGAAGTTTTGGGTACACCATTCACTTGAAATCGGACGAAGTTATATATAAAATTTACCTGCAAATCTAAACCGATGCAAGCCAGACATCATTTCAGACTCAATCCGGCAATCTGGCTATTACAAAATTAGGAATGAAAATGTTCCTATTCAATAGCAATTTCCAATGGACAGTACCATCGATGCAAATAAAGATTCAAATCATTTTTATAAATTCTATGTTTTTATACCCTTCACCACAATGTGGTACAGGCTATTATGCCTTTGTACATATGTTTGTAACAGGCAAAAATAATCGAGATAGACCCATGGTTCCTTTTGAGAATATGCATAGAATCACTTTCTGAATCGATTTATGCATGTCCGTCCGTCCGTCTGTCCATGTTAAATTGTAAACAAAGTACAGGTCGCATTTATGATCCGAATTGGATGAAATTTGGCACAGCTCATTTGTTTGGTGCAGGGACGAACCCTATTGAAATTGAGAAAAATCGGTTCAGATTTAGATAGAGCTCCCATATATATATATATATATATATATATATATATATATATATATATTATATATAATATATATATATACATATATAAAATCCGATTTAAGGTAAATTGTGTACAAAAGTCTCTATATATCTTTCGATATGCACGAAATTTGGCACAGCGTAAAGGATGGGGTCTAGAATGATGTCTGCCAAATTTCGTGTAAATCGGTTCAGATTTAGATATAGTTCCAATATATATCTTCGTCCGATTTAAGGTAAATTGTGTACCAAAGTCCCTATATATCTTTCGATTTGCACGAAATTTGGCACAGCGTAATGAATAAGGTCTAGAATGATGTGTGCAAAGTTTCGTGACAATCGGTTCAGATTTAGATATAGCTCCATATATATTTTCATCCGATTTAAGGTAATTGGTGCACCAAAGACCTTATATATCTTTCGAGTTGCACAAAATTCGAATTGCTTCTATAATAATGTGTGCTAAGTTTCATGAAAATCGGTTCAGATTTAGATATAGCTCTCATATATAGTTTCGCCCGATTTTAGGTAATTGGTGCACCAAAGTCCCTGGAAATCTTTTCATTTGCACGAATTTTCCCATAGCGTACTGAATTAAGTCTAGAATGATGTGGCAAAGTTTCGTGAAAATCGGTTCAGATTTATATATAGCTCCCATATATATTTTCCTATGGTGCACCAAAGTCTCTGAAAATCATTCGATTTACACGAAATTTGTCATAGCGTATTGAATTAAGTCTAGAATGATGTGTGCAAAGTTTCGTGACAATCGGTTCATATTTAGATATAGCTCCCATATATATGTTCATCCGATTTAAGGTAATTGGTGCACCAAAGTCTCTGAAAATCATTCGATTCGCCCGAAATTTGTCATAGCGTACTGAATTAGGTCTAGAATGATGTTGCTAAGCTTCGTGAAAAGATCCATAGCTAGGCCGATTGACACAACGTACTGAAGTAATATATATTAGTCTCTGGCAATTTTCCCTGAAATCTGGCAATTTTCCCTGATATAGATATATAATAAAAACAAAGTGGTGAAGTGTATCATATAGTCGGCCCCGTCCGACTTTACTGCTTCCCTTACTGGTTTTTTTATTAAAAACTTTCTTATTGCTCTTAAATAACCACCCTTTATTTAGTTTCCTTCTGAATGTTACATACACACAAATGACATAATTACACGGTACCGCAGTATGGTGTAGGGCAGAAGAAAATCTGATTAATTCGTTTAGTATATAATATTTAATGTGTAACAAGGACTGTTACTTTTTCACACTCTTGACATCATTCCTTTTGGTTTCACGTATAATTTAGTAGATATCTTCATCAGCTATCTAAATACGGCAGTGTGGATGTGCGGTTTATGAATGTTCCATTTTGTTCAACCGTTTTTATTTATTTGTAAACGATTATATATCATTTTTATTTTTTCCATGAATTATGTGTAAATGAACTATACTTGAGCGAATGAAAAGTGTATAAATAAAGTATATAAAAATTATATACCTCAATGATATAGTCAAGTCATTCGGAAAATGCGCCTAGGACCATGAAAATACTTGAAATAGGGTATGAACTCTATATCAATTTTTTACATAGCCCACGTAAAAATATGGATCTGCCTTCAACATGTGTTGTAAAAAAAGTTTTTTACTTCACAATAATCCGTAACTGCAAATTCTAGCCACTTCGATGAAAAAAAAAATACACTGGGATTATATCAACACGTGAACCGATGTAGCTTTATTCAAAATCAAATATCCACAATGCATGCACAACATTTCAAAGCTCTATATTATTTATGGTCGAAATAAAACCTTGTTTAGTTTAAGCAGATATGATCCTGATTGACTATAACATTTTCCTACTAGTTTTGTGCGTGTTAATAAAATATGTTCACTTATTTTATTTATAGATGGTTTAAAGAGGAAAATGAGCAGCTGCTGCCCTTGCAACTAAGTGATCGAATATCGATTGTGTCGGCGGGACTTTTAAAGATAAGTAAGGTATGTATCGAGTTAATCGGACATTTATTAGCAAAATGTCAATCGGTAAAAATTAGTTTCTTTGATGTGCTATTTCTAAGAAATCGGACGAAATTATGTAGGGGAACAGTATAAAGATTATAAAATATTTTAAGTACGGAACCAAATACGTTGAAAATGAGGACAGAATAATTTCTATACAGTTTCTTTACAAAATTCATCATTGGCTGTAATATGGTATTTTGAATTTACATTAGGTAGCAAATCTTCATACAAAAAAAAGAAAAAATACAGGTGTTTGAAATGTATACCTCATGGTGAAAGGTATATAAAGTTCGGCCCTATCGAACGTTTTTACATGTTTTTAGGGAGAGTATCTACCTCATGAAAATCTGAAATATAAAATTGCATCGATTTCGGAAGAAAATTCTGTCCAATTCAACAAAATCGGCAAAATATCAATGATGGAATAAATTCCCAAATATAGACCTGTCCGCAAAAAAAATCGTTTAGAGGCTAGCGCCAACAAAACTATGTCGACATAGTATTTATCGTTGATCAAGAATATATATACTTACTAGAATCGGACATGACTATTTCGATGAGTTATATACGAAAAAAACAAGTGAAAAAGCATTAAGTTCCACCATAGTTATACTGACAGATACATGCAATAACAAGTGAAAAAGCGTTAAAAACCTGTGAACAACGTTGGATATCCTCCACCATAGATATACTGACAGGTACTTGAAATTAAAATATAGTGTGTTTCGTTGGACCAAATTTGTTTCAAAAAATTTTGATTTCATCCAACCAAACCAAAACACGGAACAAATCATATAACTGTTTTAATATAAACAAGTGAAAAAGCGTAAAGTTCGGCCGGGCAGAACTTTGGATACCCTCCACCAAAGATATACTGACAGGTACTAGAAATGAAAATAAAGGGAACATACCAAAAAGTGGACCTATACCGACATTTCTAAAAACGGATTATGTAAACCATAATACAAATTTCAGAAATTTTTAATGGATAATTATACCCTCAGCCATATGGCTAATGAGGGTGTATACTCGTTAACACGGTGAAAATGTGCCTCAGCAAAATATTGGTTCTAGACCCATGTTTCTTTGGACCAAATCCGTTTCAGAAAATTTAGATTTCATCCAAACTTTGCCCATCAAATTAGAAGATGGGGAATATTGGTCCACTCCTTCTGGAACCTCCACACAGGGGCTAGGTCTAAATGCGGCTATAGTTCAATATCGAACCTAACGTTCTAATTGTTTATCTCGCTTTCCTCCGCAGTTGAAATGATTACAACAGAGTCTTAGAACCAAACTCAAAACGCGTAACAAATCAGATAACTATTTTAATATAAAAAAAGGGAGTTATATGGGGATTACCCCAAAAAGGAGGCGAATATTAATAATTTTTGGTAGGGAGATTTGTTACCATATACGACTACAAAATAACAAATTTGCAGCAAATTCGGTTGAAAAACGCGCTCAAGAAGCACGAAATACCGAAAATTGGGGTACCCTTATATGGGGGCTACCCGAAAAAATGGGACTATATTCATAATTTTTTGTAGAGAGATTTGGTACAAATTAAGAACTCAAAATACAAAATTATAGGCAATTCGATGAAAAAATCCGGTCAAAACCCCACAAAAACTAAAAATTAAGGGGGTACCCTTATATGGGGGCTACCAGAAAAAGTGGACCTATATTTATAATATTTAGTGGGGAAATTTGGTACCCAATAAGAACCCAATGCACCAAATTTCAGCAAATTCGGTTGAAAAACGCGCTCAAAAACCCCAAAATACCGAAAATTTGGGGGTACCCTTATATGGGAGCTATGCCTAAACGTGGAACGATATATCCCATCTTCGAACTTGACCTGCCTGCAGACAAAAAACGACTCTGTGCAAATTTTGGCGATCTATCTCATCTCGTTTAGACGCTAGAGTGATTACAACAATGATTATTTCGATGAGTTACAAACGGAAAAACAAAATTAATATACCCTCCATACTATGGTGGAGGGTATAAAAAGGGGGTTATATGGGGACGACCCCTAAAAGGGGGCGAATATAAAAATTTCTGGCGAATATAAAAATTACCATATACGACTACAAAATACCAAATTGCAGCGAATTCGGTTCAAAAACCAGCTCAAGAACCCCATAATACCAGAAAAAGTGGACCTATATTTATAATTTTTAGTGTCGAAATTTGGTACCCAATAGGAACTCAATGTACCAAATTTCAGCGAATTTAGTTGAAAAACGCGCTCAAGAACCCCAAAATACCGAAAATTTGGGGGTAACCTTATATGGGAGTTATGCCTAAACGTGGACCGATATAGCCCATCATCGAACATGAACTGCCTGCAGACAAAAGACGACTCTGTGCAAAATTTTGGCGATCGATCTCAATTCGTTTAGACGCTAGAGTGATTACAACAGATTTATATACCCTCTATATTATGGTGGAGGACCTAATTAAAGATATGGCTTTTGTGGAATAAATTAGGTAGCCAAGGCTATATTCAAGTCGTTCAGACATTTGTTGAATCATTATAGGACCTATATATAACTGAAACGGTCTGTGAACGATTCGTTCCATTTTGCCAAATCAAGTGAAAATTGCACCAAATTGAAGTCGTTGGTGCATTCATTAGATGCAATTAGAACCTAGTTTTTTATAATTATGTGTCCATCTTATTTACATGTATCTGAAACCGCAGTGCGATATAATAATACCTAATAACATTATTTACCTATAAGAAACCTGCATTTCATTAACATATTGAATATTATTTGTATATTTATTTTTCACTTTCTCAAAATGAAATACCGTGAACAGGCACGTCTTGATGATACCGGCAAATATTTGTGTTGGGTAAACAATACCGCTGGAGAAGAAACAATACAAGTTTCGTTAACCGTTACAGGTAAGTTGGAGATGCTTTTGCGTCCAAAAAAAAAAAAAAAAAAAAAAAAGAAAATTCGCTTCGTATTTTTTCTGGTTACCTTTTATTTGCTGATTTGTACAATCGACAATAATATGCCATTGGTAGGGGGTATTAATTTAATGTAAGTATCTCAAGCCTATCTTTATGTATGACCATGGTCCTTCATTAGAAACAACTTAGTCGGAGTGGAAAACACCGAGAACGGCTTTGCCACATGCCAAATGTATGCCATTAAGCTAACGACGAGAAAGATGGTTATTTGCATAATTTAATTAAATTTTCATTAAGTAAATACTACTAGCAAACGAACAAAATGTACATACATATATATATTTTTGTGTCCTTGAAAGAAAACAAATCAATATTGCCAAGTGATAGTCAACACTACACACAGTCAACACCGGTACACCAAAATATTTTCTCATCTGGTTTCCTTGAAAATTATTCTCATTTTGTTGATGAAAAACGGTGGTGGAAATAAAATAAAAAACTGTATTTTTTGGTTATACATTATAAACACTTAAACGCTAAATGAGCAAAGGAAAAACAAAATAAGGGAACCCCCCATTCTAGATTATAATTTGTCAAGATTTTCAATGGGCTGGTAACTGAATACCAATGCTTGTTAAGGTTTGTTACTTTGCACATATATATTTGAAGATTTAAAAAGAAAGAAAAATAATTTACAAAAAATTTTTGTTGTTGTTTTAAGAAAGAGTACATGTCTGGCTCTCGTATGAACTAGGATTATTGACTTCGCTCTAAAATTAACAAAATAGCGGACCTTTGAAAAAATATTTTTGAAAAATCGCCGATTTTTGACCAAAAACCAAGTTAAAAAATAAGGAAGATTTTCACCGATTGGCTTTATCCTAGTTTATACGATAGCTATACACTCACAGAGAAACGTGTAAAAATTTGGAATCGATTGGGGTATTAGCCTTTGAGTTATCGTGCCCGCCATTTGTTTAGACAAAAACGGGTTTAAAGTTTGAGAAGCCCTTCAGCCGTCATTTGATGCTGACACAATGAATCGGCTATATCTTCAAGAGTTCTTAAGATTTTCACTAGACATTTTGTGGGGACATTCTTGAATTAGTGTAGATTCGAACCAGTATAGTCGGACGGGCCGACTGTGGATCTATATTCTGAGCTTGGGCAATATTTCGCGATATTTGAACCATCTGGACCAACTAGAGACCGACAATTATTACTAATGTTCAGTACAGCCTTTCTCATTACTTGTCCAGATTCCCTTCCCTTGTGTTGTGATCTTCTTATTCCCATTGGAGCCTATAGATCAAAAACACAAAAAATTATGTTTTCGGTCCACTTGATCACAATATAATTATCTGATCGTAACCGAAAATTGTAGGCCTTATCCTTGACCATAACTGGAACTTCATGGTGGTGTGGTAAAGGGTAACTAAATAATATCTGAATACATAACCACCTGTAAATATTTAAGTGTAACTCCCACATCTGAGTACATACGACCATATAATTGGTATCAATTTAAAGGTCAACCACTACCCTTGGATATACCAAAAACGTTTCGGGTCTATGTCCTTCAGGAGTAAATATACACGCCATAGAATACAAATTTTGTAATTTTTCACACAAAAGTCTGAGTCCATTTGACCCGCTAAATATTGACCGATCCTTATCAAAACAGGCATGCTTTTTCTTTGGCCCGATCCCCTTCTCTATGTAAAAATTCGCGATGTTTGGGTTATAATTGCGGCCTCTAGAGCGATCAGAAAAACATAAAAAATAAGTATTTGGTCCATTTCATCCCCTAAATATTGACCGATCTTTCCCAAAAACAATAGGGGTCTTCATTGGCCAGAACCCATCCTACATGCAAAATTTCGTGAAGATTGGTCCATAACTGTGGCCTGTATCATTTTTACAAAATATAATGGACAGACGGACGGACACACATCTCTAGATCGACTCAGCTAGTCGAGATATGACGATCGGTATACTTAAGGGTGGGTCTAGGACCAATATTTCGCGGCGTTACAAACTCTTGGGGCTGCACAAAGCTATAATACCCTGACAACATAGTTGTGTAGGGTATAATTAAGTCAACAAAATTTTTGACCTTGAGAAATGGGGGGGTCCACATGAAACGGCTGAAGCTTAAATCTTGTGAATTTGGGGTGGGCTGGATTTTTGAAAATTTGTTCCAGGACGACACGAAAAGTACTAAATGTGCTACCATTTGTATTTGGCAAACCGTTAGAGCTAGAACTCTTAAATTAGAAATTAGGGTCACTGATAGAGTGTAGAATATATGTACCAAAGTGATTTTTGGAAATTCGAACAATAAGTACTAAACTGTACTAAATTTGGTACAATTTCGTAGCATGTGCAGGGATATAGCTAAAAATTTGACATTTGGAATACGAATTTAGGTTGAGAAGTAGGGTCGATATAAGGCCGTGGTTTTTAAAGCGTGTACTCATGTATTCGAACCTTACTATATGATACTATATATGGATATTGGTACTGAATTTGGTACAATTTGAATTTTGGGTGAACCAATAGAGCTGGAATTCTGAAATTTGGAGTTAGGAGCACTGTTAGGGTGATATAAGACCGTGGGTTTTAAAGCGTGTATATTATACTATATATGGGTATTGGTACTAAATTTGGTACAATTTGAATTTTGAGTGAACCAATAGAGCTGGAATTCTGAAATTTGGAGTTTTGAGCCCTGTTGGGGTATGTTGGAAGTTTTTGAAATCTATACTATTTTTTTACTGAATGAGGTACAAATTTAATTTCGGGAGAACCGATAGAGCTAGAATCGTGAAATTTGAAGTTAGAGTAATTGTTGGGGTGTAGGGGTGCGGTATGTAGGAAATTTTGGAAATGGTACAAATTGGAATTGAGCGAATCAATAGAGCTGGAACTTGCAATTTGGAGTTAGGGTCATAATGGGGGTGTAGGGTTGGAATATTAGTAAAATACCTAACGTGTACTAATGTGCACTAAATGGTACCAAATTTGGTTGTACCTATAGAATTGGAATCTTGAAATTTTAATGTTAGGATCACTGTTGTGGTGTAGAATTGGGCTATGTAGGAAGCCATGGCATAAGTAATTAATTAAGTTGGAGTCGGAATAATTTGTGGCGTGTAGGATTGTGATATATAGATAGTTTTGAAAATTCGTACTTATTACACCCTACACAACTATGTTGTTAGGGTATTATAGCTTTGTACAGCCCCAAGAGTTTGTAACGCCGCGAAATATTGGTCCTAGACCCACCTTTAAGTATACCGATCGTCATATCTCGACTAGCTGAGTCGATCTAAACATGTGTATCCGTCCGTCCGTCTGTTCATTATAATTTGTAAACACGATACAGGCCACAGTTATGGACCAATCTTCACGAAATTTTGCATGTAGGATGGGTTCTGGCCAATGAAGACCCCTATTGTTTTTGGTAAAGATCGGTAAATATTTCGAGCTGGAATTCGATAAAATGGACCAAAAACTTTAATTTTGTCGGATTTTCTGGTCACTCCAGAGGCCGCAATTATGACCCAAACATCGCGAATTTTTACATGGAGAAGGGGATCGGGCCAAAGAATAAGCATTTCTGTTTTGATAAAGATCTGTCAATATTTAGCAGGTCAAATGGACCTTGACTTTTGTGTGAAAAATTACAAAATTTGTGTTCCATAGCGTATATATTTACCCCTGAAGGACACAGGCCCGAGAAGTTGATAGTATATCCAAGAGGAGCGGTTGACCTTTAAATTGATACCAATTATATTGTCGTATGTTCTCGGATGTGGGAGTTATACTTAAATATTTGCAGGTGTCTACGTATTCAGATATTATGTATTAGCCCATTACCACATCAGAGAGTCCGCCCTCTGGCTAATCGCTTTGAAATGTTCCATGAGGTTTCAGTTATGGTCAAGGACAACGCCTCTATGTTCTGTAATGATAAGATAATAATTTTGAGATGAAGTGAACCGAAAACTTAATTTGTTGTGTTTTCGAGTCGATCTATAGGCCAAAAATATAAGCCGAACATCAAAACACATTGGTTGAATTTTGGATGAACCAACAGAGCTGGAATCTTGAAATTTGGAATTAATATTATTGGAAAAGTATGTGAAGCGATCGAGCTGAAATTCGAAAATTGTAAAATATGATTTCTATTGGATTTATATTAATTTAAACTAAATTATACTAAATTTGGTCGTTAGATCTATAGAATCATGAATCTTCGAATTAGTTTTAGAAATAAGTACTATACGAGTACGAACAGTTACAGTTTTCGTCTTATGGACAAATATTGATAATTTTATGAAAAAGTGATTTTCTGCCATATTCAAATCTGAACCGAACAAAAAAATATATGAATAAAACTTCTCAGTACATCTTCAAAAGTAACAACTATGCCAGTAGTGCTTACATTTTTTCAGTTCCGTTTACATACACACGCTTATCCTTCACCTCAATATGGTGTAGGATACAAAAACAGACTACAATTTGTAATATTTTCTACATTTGTTTTCGTTCCTGTTGTACTACTCCTTCCCATTTTTGTTTGTTCTCTTTTGTCTTTCTTGGCAATTGGCAGCACCGCTGACAGCCCATCTACAGCCTCAAGTACAAACGGTAGATGTCGATAAGGATGCACAATTTCAATGCATTGTGACTGGACATCCGGTGCATGATGTTAATTGGTTGCACGATGGTAAACCAATACTACGCGATAACCGAGTCGAGGCAAGTTAATAAGTATAAACATATTGGCATACATGTTTGCATCCGCCCCCTGCATTAAAAAAATAACAGATTATTTTTATTTTAATTTTTGCAGATTCTTTCAGATCCGCCACGTCTCATTATCAAGAAAGTACAAAAAGATGATCCGGGCATGTATCAATGTTTTGTGTCCAATGAATGGGAACAAATACAGTCGACCGCTGAATTACAGTTAGGAGGTGAGTTGATAAAGTTATCAAAAATATAAATACCGGAAATATCGGAATTTGTCTGAGCTCAAAAAGTAAACAAAATTTTAAAAAACGTGGGTCTTCTATAATAGTATCAACGACAACCACAGATTTGGAAAAAAATATAAATTTTTTTCTTTCTTTTTTGCAGATGCCTCACCCGAGCTGCTGTATTGGTTTTCGGAACAGACACTACAACCGGGTCCAACTGTATCATTAAAATGTGTAGCAACTGGAAATCCTTTGCCACAATTTACATGGACTTTGGATGGTTTTCCGGTAAGTGCAGGTGTTTTGTATACCAATTTCTCAAATTAGAATTTATATTATAAATAAAATCCAACGGCAATTAATATCGAAACTCAATTATTGATTTATTCAAGTGTACATTTGTTGATCAAATCATATGCCAACGTTCAATCAAATACTGAAAAAATGCCAATCTCTGGGCTATTGTCGTTTCAATACATTTCATTGCGTTTTGTATTTTTTATTTTCAGATACCAGATCATTCGCGATTTCTAGTTGGTCAATATGTTACGATACATGACGATGTCATCAGTCATGTGAATATAACAAATGTCAAGGAAGAGGATGGTGGCGAGTACACCTGTACGGCACAGAATGCCATTGGCAAGTAAGTGAAATAGAAGGATATGTGGAAAAATGAATGAAATAACTGTAGACACTAACATCACATAGAGAATCTGTTTATTAAAGGAGGATTAAAAACAGAAACCTCTTGTGGAAAATAGTTGAAAGTTAACGCTGGGAGTTAGCATTTTCGCATTTTTCAGTAGTTTTTGTAATTTGACTACAAAATGAAATTGACCAAATACTTAATTTTTGCCAGTTTTTCTGGTCCCTCCAGAGGCCGCAATTTGCACACATTATGATAGACGCAATTCAGTACGCTATGCCAAATTTTGTGCAAATCGAATGATATATAGGGTATTTTGTGCACCAATTACCTTAAATCGGTTGAAAATATATATGGGAGCTATATCTAAATCTGAACCGATTGTCACGAAACTTTCCCCACATCATTCTAGTATCAATTCAGTACGCTATGTCAAATTTCGTGCAAATCGAATGATTTTCAGAGACTTTGGTGAACCATTTACAAAAAATCGGACGAAAATATATATGGGAGCTATATCTAAATCTGAACCGATTTTCAGGATACTTAACACACATCATTCTAGACCTAATTAATTACGCTGTGCAAATTTCGTGCACATCGAAAGATATTTAGGGACTTTGGCGCACCATTTACCTTAAATCGGACGAAAATATATATGGTAGCTTTATCTAAATCTAGACCTATTTCCAGGAAACTTAACACACATCATTCTAGACATAATTCATTACGCTATGCCAAATTTCGTGCAAATCGAAAGATATATAGGGGAAAATATATATGGGAGCTATATCTAAATCTGGACCGATTTTTCCCAATTTCAATAGGGTTCGTCCTTGGGCCAAATAAGTGACCTATGTCAAATTTCATCCAATTGGGATCATAAATGCGACCTGTACTTTGTTTAAAATTTAACATGGACAGACAGACGGACGGACGGACATGCCTAAATCGGCTTAAAAAGTGATTCTATGCTTATTCTAAAAAAGAACCATGTGTCTATCTCGTTTCCTTTTGCCTGTTACAAACATATGCACAAAGCCATAATAATATTTATTATTTTCAGTGTGGAATTTCGGTACCCAATAAGAAACCAATGTACCAAATTTCAGCGAATTCGGTTAAAAAAAAAACGTCCTCTATAACCCCAAAATACCGGTTGGAGGGTACCCTTATATGAGTGCTATGCCTAAATTTGGACCGATATAGCACATCTTCAAACATGCCTGCAAACAAAAGACTCTATGCAAAATTTTGGCGATCTATCTCAATTCGTTTAGAGGCTAAAGTGATTACAACAGACAGACGGAAATGCTTAGATCGTCATATAAATTTAAGCTGATCAAAAATATAGGGTCGGAAATGATGATTTCGATGAGTTACAAACGGAAAAACAAAATGAATATACCCTCCATACTATGGTGGAGGTATAAAAAAATATAATGGCTACAAATCAAGATATGAAGCTAGATCTTAATGTGTAAGAGGGTCGCCAACAAACCAAAATTGTTATGCCATATCTCTGAACTTTGACCCATGGAGAATTTGTGCTTCAGGGGACGAAACGACTGAAGCTAGAATCTTAAATTTTGGGATGAGGGTCACTCTTGGTCCATAGGCGTTAGATAAGGCTGGGTTTTTTGGATATTCGTACTAGAACGGTACGAAAAGTACTAAAATGTACAAAATGTAGTGCCATTTGTATTGGAAGTTAGGGTCACTATGGAGCGTGGCTGGAATCCTGAAATTGGGAAATATGTTTTCTATGGGATTTATATTCATGTGTGCTAAATGAAAGTTTTTTGAAGAGAGAATCACTGTTGAAACACGTACCATAATATAACAAAGAAAATACATGGTACTAACATTTTGATTATGGTCAATATTGGTGTGTATGTTGATTAGATCTGCAGTTCTCTGTGAAAACAAAACAAAAAAAATACTTAGACATGTTACGAGCATATGCTAGTTAATTTATATAATTGCATACTACACCTTTGATAATTATTTTTACCCGTTAATAGCTTAATAAACATTATTGCCTATTTGCTAAACACTTAATTAACTAGTCGTATATTTTATTTTTTGTTTGTTTTGTTTTACAGAGTATCCCACAGCGCAAAGGTGAATATCTATGGACTGCCACACATTCGTGAAATGCCAAAAATAACTGGAATATCTGGACATGATTTGATTGTTAAATGTCCTGTGGCTGGTTATCCAATTGATCGAATTCATTGGGAAAGAGGTAAATGTTATACACAAAAAAAAAAAAAAACTAATAGTTTGGCTCAGGAACTAAGGA